CCTTAGGTTTGTAAGCAGAGTTATGAAAAATAATGGATTACGGTTAAATTGGTGGACAGAATCACTTTGGAATAATTGAACAGGTGGGGGGAACAGATTGATTAATGTATGCATCTACTGAATGCAGTAGTTTCCTCTTCCCTTTAATGGTGCTGTTCAACAGATGGAGCCCTGTGTAACACACACTTTTCTGAGACTCCCCAATCAGAATTTGATGTGGGGATGAGAGGAAAGCCTTTGAACAAAAGTGAATAGTTAATTTAATAGGAGGTTAGAGAATGGAAGAACAGATGTGAAAGAGAAAGGATATACCAACGTTGATATCTTTAAATCACATAGATGAGAAGAAATTGACATATTTCCCTGTATTACAGGGGAAAAAAGACACACACAGCTGCAAAATTGCCTACATTTGTTTTAGCCTAAAATGCATCTTAAAGGGGGCCTATTATACTTATTTTCAGGTTCATATTTGGATTTTGTCTCTTGACTGTGACATGTTTAAATGCTTTGATGTTCAATAAGCCCTTTATTTTTGCTGCATCACCTCTTTTCACCCTCTGTCGGAAACCAGAGCCCAGTCTGCTCTGATTGGTTACTTATCTGTTGTGATTGGTTAACCGCTTAGAGATGTCCCACCCCTTAGTTTATCACGATGAATGTGTTAGCCTTTGCAGACCATTTACATGCACAAAAACCTATATAACACACTACAGGAAAGTAAAATCCCCTAAAATCATTATAGGGCCTTTTTAAGATTATGCCATCATTATAAAATATTAACTAATAACTAGTATGTTTCTAGTGATACGTTTAAAACTACACCAATATCTCCATGCTCGGTTAACAAATCAAAACTCACCTCCTCAGGACTGCTTTTAATCTGTAATTATTGTTGTGTTTAGTATATTTTAAGTGGGTTGTCTTAATTGTTATTTTTTTAGGAATTGTAACCCTGTAATATGTCTTTGAGTACCTTGAAGAGCACTATATAAAAATAATTGTGCTTTTCTAAATACTCAAATACATCATCAGATTAATATCAGTAATTATGACAACAAAAGCAAAAATAATACAAATATAGTTGTTTTCCTCCTGAGGGAGTAGCACAGTTTTTGGCTATCCTGGCTTTTTGCCTGTAACACTCAGGCAGCAGCAGCATTACAGCAGAAGTGGGCCATGTCCCAAGATAGCCTCCCAACGTGACAACCGACCTGTCACTCCTGGTCCTGAGAACAAAGTGTATAAATAGACACACTCAAAGCACACCCCTAACGTTTACTATACTCTTATTTTATTCCTTTTTTCCTCCTTTGTGTCCTTGTTTAGCACCCTTTAACCTCATCCATACGTCCCATCCCTATTGGCTGTTTCATTAACAGTTCCAAAAGGTGGAGCTAGACCACAAATGCACCATAGACAACTTGTCTAGTAGCTCCAAAAATGTAATAAAGTATCCGCTTTTTCACTTGTTCTTGGACATGGCATTCATGGCTTAGCTAACTAGCATAGCTGTAGCCTTTCCTTGAGTAGGTCTACCTCAGATTTAGGAACAACAAACCAAAAAGAAAAATTATTCATTGATCCTATACAAACAGCTCCCATCAAAGTGTACTAGCGCAGCAGTGAGTATATTAATGTAATTTTAGCATGGTATCTCACATATCCACATCCATCAGCACTCTATTTTAATGTCATTTTTGCTATCTTAAAACTCTGCAGCCCAAAAAATTATAGTGATTCTTAAAGGCTACCAAAAACAAAAATGTAATAAAAACATACAACAAAAAAAAGATTCCATTGTTTTCTGTTGTTTTTTATTTTGGTTAAACTACCAGGTCTATCAGGTCTAGCCAAAGACAATGGTCCAAAACCCCAGGGAAAAGCTTTGCATTATACCAGTTCCCTCATCTCAAAGTCAATGTTTTTTTGTTTGTAATTGGGACCTGAAGTGAGGTCTGTGGTTAACACAAGATTACGAGATTTTCAAGTTTTGTTCTGCGACATAAAATATGTCAATAAATACCCTACTTAATATCCAGAGCTTCTATGTGTCATGGAAACGGCGGTTGCTTACAAGTGACTAAATAAGACCACTAATTGTCAAGCTGAACGTTTAAGGATCATAAACGTGTGTTGGCCACAAACGTTATTTTCTGCAATATATCAAAATCCAATGGGGAAATCCCATATCTTCCAAGTCCATCAAAAAAGAACACAGATGTTCCATATATACACAGATGGACTTAAGGTTGTAGCGTGCACAGCCAGAAAAAAGCTTTGCTACTTTAAAAAATAACTAGTTACTTGTTTTTCCTGGAACTTTGTCTATTATACTAAATATTCAAGAATATCTCTGGGTTGGTTATTGCAGTCATTGCCTTGTCAGCAAAATATTTCATATCTGAATTACTGATACTTTATGTGCTTCCAGGACATTTTCCCCCTGCTTTCACAACAAAACCTCTTATCGGACACTTCATTTTTGCTCTTTCATACCTCCGTTCCCTCTGTCAGTTCCTCCTCTCATCTGTAATTCCCTCGCTCCCTGCCTCTGCTCAACATCTCTTCACTCTTGGCAGCCGTGCTGTTCTTTAATATGTGCATCTATTTAAAGATTGAAACCATCTCGGACCTGCCAAGTGGAGTTGTATTCAGAAAATATGAGGCAGACTCTATGAACTGTTCTTCTAAACCCACTGGACCTCTGCAGTATGGGGTGGCGTCATCTGATGCTAAGAGACACAGGAAAAGTAGGCTACTGGGTTAGTCTAGAATATATGATGTGCTTATGTCATGAATAATGTACAAAGTTCATGGGGTCCGACCGTGGAGAGGTAAATTCGTTTTTTTTGGAATAATAATGTATATGATCTTATTCATAAAGCACCTTTAGCCTTATTACATTTTTTGGGGTTTTCCCTTTCCTGTAGTGTATTATATAGGTTTTGTGCATTTAAATAGCCTGCAAAGGCTAAAATCCCTGTTATATCTCTCATAGGCTCCGCCCTCTACTGGACTCTATGGGTACTACCTTATCATGCAAGCATCCACCTACTGAGACTTCTATAGATGTAGCCGGCCCCGGGGCAGGCCTACCTGAATGCGCGCGCATCTCACCGTATAAAAGGAGGCCTCGCCTCCTGACTGTCATCCCTTTCTCTTCAGCGAGCGGAAGTGAAACACTGAGCAAAGACGTGAATAGAGAAAGAGAAGAAAAGCATGGACACCACTACTCGAACACCGGGCCTGTCCGACATGCCCTGGCCTGATCGCGGGGGCTGATCCGGACCACGCCGAGGACGGCCTAAGCCAGTCGGGGGACCAAGACACCTTAGAATATTTGGATAAAATATTCAGGCTCAGAGCACAGATGGCGGCTGTGGCGAGTAATCTCTGCGTGTTGGGTGTCTCCCTGATTACCCCTCAGACGGACACCCCTGCCCTCCCGCCTCAGGACGGGAGCGGTTATCCGGACCGCTGCATTGGTCAGATGAATAATCTGATCCATGGAGTGGCCGCCACAGCGAGGCGGGTGAGGTCCTTGGCCACAGTGGCCTCGCGTCACGTGTGGCTAGGACTCACCGCTCTATCCAAGAAGAACCAAGAGGATCCCCTTGGAGCCCCCGTGTCCACGGAGGGGCTCTTCGGGTCGATATCCTCGGTCACCCAACGCTTCAGCCGCCTAGAGGAGGAGAGAGTGCAGCTTAGCCGCATGCTACCGCTGGCTCTTCCTCAGGCGCCGCAGCGCGCTCCACCACGGGCTTCCCTGCAGGCGAGGGAGCGCAGTGCGACGGTGAGATGAAGGGAGAGGCGCCCTCCACCTCTTCGGCCCATCCTGTGGAACCGGGGTACCGGCACTCACGGGGACGGGCTGCCCGACCTCGGCAGGCTCCGCAGCAGCAGAGTGGCCGGGTGATGTGCTCCGTCTTCACCGAGCTGACTGGCGGGGGGAGAAAATCTCTCCACCCGGGACGCGAGGGCGAATCCCGCCTCCTCCCTGTATAATGCACAGATCACTACGTTTTCTAATAAAAATGAGGTTGATCTGTATCCAAGTTTAAGTGTCATTTGTTTCCACAATGCTACACTTACACATAATGTTGACCGTACAAATTCCCCACTCGCTGCCCCAGTTGTAGCTCCTGTAAAGGAGGTAGCTAATGGCCCTTTGTGTGTCGACCCTCCATGGGCAGAACTTCCCTTCACGGGGAGTTTTGCGGCGGAACGGGTCACCAGGGAGTACCACAGCTTCATAGCTGGGGCCCCGCAGTTGAGGGCTTGTCCCCTAACACAGTGTTATGCTACGTCAGCCAAGAGAGTGTCCGAATTAACCGCTCTGTCGGTGCACCCGAGTTGCTTGTGATCCGGGGTGACCTGTGCTTATATAACAAGGGTTACCATACGTAACCCCTCATTTTCATTCCAGAGGGGGTTTCTCTCCCCCCCTCCCCATTCCTGAAAAGCTTCCATTGGACTCCTTTGTTTGATTCCGTAACATAATGACATCACTATGTAACATTATGCGCTTCTATTGGCTAGGGCTTCAACTCATTGTACATGATAGACTAAGGGGCGGGACATCTTTGGTTTCAGACAGAGGGTGAAAAGAGGTGCTGCAGCACAGGCTGTATTAGAAAAATAAAGACGAAAACATGTCACAGTAGAAACAAAAATACAAATATGAACCTGAAGATTAACATAATATGAACTCTTTAAAATACTAGCAGCAGAATTGTGGACAAGCAGGAGGAGGGAGAGAGATTCTTAACTCTACTAGTGGTGAATGCATGGAAATCAATTTCATGATTTTTGGGAATTATAAATGTTTCTGAGATGATGAATACAGGATAAAACCATTGAACTGACATGTTTATCCAAGCTGAGGTTTCGGTCAAATATGACTCCAAGTTGTCAACAATAAAGCTGTAATTTAGTGAATTTATATCTGTGTGCAATGTTTTTGTGAGTGCTAATGTAATATTTCACGTGTGTTTCAGCACTGGGAGGTGTTTAAGGTGATAACGGAGGTGTTTATCCTGGTGCCTGCGCTGGTTGGACTCAAAGGAAACCTGGAGATGACCCTCGCTGCTCGCCTCTCCACTGCTGTAAGATTTTTACATCCTCATGAAATATCATTTTGGATTAAGAACTTGCCAACCAACAGAGAACTCTGTTACTACGCCTGATAACTTCAGTTTACCACCCTACAGAGAATGTATCATGTAGAACAGATACAGTACAAAGTCACACACACAGTAATTCATTTTTAAACTTTTGATATCATTGGATTTATAGGTCCTATGTCATGCTTTTCTGGTTATTACCCGTCCCCTTGTGTGTTATGAAGGTTTTTATGCATGTAAACCCTCAACGTACACCCTGTAGCGAGTACAACTCTAACACAGAAAAGACCTGTCTATGCTGCCCCAGAACGCCTCGTTGGAGATTTCTCTTTTTCCATTTGTTTCTTCCGGGAACCGCATGACGTCATGCGGTTCCCGGAACCAAAATGGACCAATCCGCGGAGCTCCTCACACACCAGGAGGGGTGGGGACCTTTAGCGTACATTTTCAACTAACAGGGAGTCCCATTGACTTGCATAGAGCTCCCTGAACGCTGGTAATAGACGAGTTGGGATCGCGGAGAAATGCTCTCTGCAGACCCATTCTCACAGCGTTTATAAACCTTTTTCTTACTCAATATCAAGCCACACTTATTGTTTTTACTTCGGCTGTGAGTGTTTGTGTGTGCTCAGGATGAGTTTCGCGCTGTCTCGCTGTATTGCCGACCCGGAAACCACACCAGTAAGTCAGCTCACCGAGCAGCGAGCCTCGCAACGTCCCGACCAATCAGAGCACACTGGGCTCACAGGGAGGGGGGGGGGGCAGGAGCTCCAACAAGGCATTTAGGACAGAGAGTGAATACACATACTATACAGAGATGCTGTACGACAAACCAATGTGAGTTTGGAAAATTGCACAATATAAATCTATTCTAGTAGACCGCAACAATGGAATTATGATCAGTAGAAATGGCCATGACATGGGACCTTTAATTAAAACACTATGCATAATATGTTATGTTTGTTTTACACATTACGCAGAGCACTTTTGCAGGTGTTTACATTCTTATTTTCCCGTTTTTTATGAAAAACAGACATATTGAATATGAAATACTCACTGAGGGCCTGTACCAAACTAATGCTTATATAATGACTGATGGTATCTTTGTGTTTGCAGGCCAACACAGGCCAGATGGACGACCCTGGTAAACAATGGACCATGGTGTGCAGCAACCTGGCACTGATACAGGTAACATCACCTGAAACACCTTTGAAATACTTTGTTGAGGTACATGTGGTACCCTATGGTCTAATACTGACTTTGGAGACACATTACATTACATTACATGTCATTTGTTAGACGCTTTTATCCAAAGCGACTTACATACATTCAATACTGTGGACAATCCCCACAGGAGCAATTTGGGGTGAAGTGTCTTGCCCAGGGACACAACGACATGCTGACTGCAGTGGGACTCGAACTTGCTATCCCCTGATTTGAAGTCCAGCACACTATCCACTGAGCCACACTCTCCCTCGCCACAAAGCTTACTGTGTTCACCAGGCAAAAAGAGTCATTCAAGTAACCATTGAAATACATTTTTTAAGTACAGTATATATGGTGGTCTAATTTCTGATTTTCTACTGATTTTTTACAGCCTCGTGCAAATGTCACCACACTGTTTGTCAAATGCATTGTTAAATCCTAATAATGATGTCATGTTTGCCATTCTTTTGCAGGTTCAGGCGACAGTGGTGGGTTTCCTGGCAGCAGTGGCAGCTATTTGTTTAGGGTCCTTTTCTCGAGGGGGGATTGAACTGGACCAGGCCGCTGTTCTCTGTGCCAGCAGCATCATCACTGCCTTTGTTGCTGCTCTTTCCTTAGGTGAGTAATTAAGATCGTTTTTCTTGTTTTGTATTAGAAGTATAATACATCTATCATATCTATATTTTCCAATTGTTTTAGCTACATTTTTTTAACCAAGTCTCAGTTTGCTAAGTAGTTTTGCCCTTAAGGGCTTCCTTACTTGTGACAATTAGTGAATTACGGTAGGGAATGTGTTTAAATGTAATATGTATGCTGTGAAGATCCACTCATCTTGGATCAAGGGGGCAGCAATTAAGCACACATTTGGTAGAGAATGCTAGAACATTTACATTTTACAGGCTCAGCCACTTTCTCTTTTGAGCTGATGTGTAATCAAAGACATGATGGCTGAAACACTTGCTTCATAGCAAGCCTATATTTGTTTCTTTGTGTCTTGTAGGTAATTACATTTGAGTTTTTTTTATTACAAATTACAGGAATAGCAGTTTTTATATATTTTTGTGAAGAGTCAAACAAAGCCTCTTAAAGTCTTTTTCACACATCCTTGGACGAGAGCATGAACAGATCAGAATTTGGAGTTCAATTTTTGTTGTTGCTATAATTGAAAAATGTATACGCTTTAAACACACAAATATGATTTATGACTAATAGAATCATATTGCTGTCAATTCTAATGACAGCAATGACCTGTGTGACCCGCTCTATTGAAATCAGTCAGATGTCGGCACATTACAAGACAATCATGGGTTTATGTCAAGAACTCTTGTTTGGTTGATTTTAAACAAACAAAACAGTGTCCATTTCAGTGATAACTGTCAGCTCTGACTCTGATCAGCGCCCCTCCCTCTCTACGACTCCCTTAGCTTTGCCATAGACTGCAAAGACCACATCAAAATCAGAGCTCATTCAATTGTGGTCCTAAGGGGGGGCAGGGGTACTATGCCCCCAAAATATTAGGCCTTGAACCCCCTCTTAAAATAACTTAAAAGTAACTTTAAAATGTACTGTAAACTTTGAAGGTGTTTTTTCTCAGAACGGCGTCTTCATAACAGTCATCATGTATTATTTGGAGTACGAAAACAGTAAGGCTATGATTGGAAAAATAAGGATCTCCTTTTTCCAATGGTGTACATAACTCAAAGTTTTGTTTTGGGGTCAAAGTGACTTTATCTGTGCCTCTGAAGATCGTCTTTAGTGATAGGAAAAACCCAGCATGTTTCTGCTGAAAGCTTTTATTAAGTTGTCGTGTAACCCTGATAAAAGCTCTCTCTGAGAACACTGAACACAGTCCTTTTTTTTAGCTTGTTTGAAAGTGATTACTTTTTCTCCACCATCATGTTTTCTGTTTCTCTCTTCTCTCTGTCTTTACTCTTCCTTCTTCCCTTCCGTAGGCCTGGTGATGATAGGAGTGATCATTGGCTCCAGGAAGGTAGGGATCAACCCGGACAACGTGGCCACCCCCATCGCTGCCAGTCTAGGGGATTTAATCACTCTGTCCCTGCTGGCCACCGTCAGCACCGTACTGTATGAATATATAGGTGAGGAATAATCTCAGCTCTGATTTATGACTATGTTCCCTCACATCTGGACCTTTTCTTTCAATCATATTTTTTTCTTTTTCTGGAAGTAATGAGAACAGTGTCACGCAGTGATTTAGGGCTGCAGATCTCAATTGATTCAATGTCAACTATCAAAAGTAATCAAGAAATGTATTGAAAGTAAACTTAAGCCCAAATCTTTAGATCACAGATTTCTAATGTGAGCGTGCTCCTCTATGAGAGTAAAATGTATATATTTGAAGTGTGGAAAAAAATGAATTTTTATTCATTTTGTGAAAGACTAATCAATATTTTTCATAATTTTCATTATAGACTCATAAATTATCAATTAATCCATCAAATAATGGACATGAAATGATAATAATGTATTATATAGTTTGAATTATTGTAATTGTTGTATTAATAATATTAACTTGCAAAGTAACTATTAAGTAATGTTGTGAAATAAGTGTAGGGAGTAAACATTACAATATCTTCTTCCAAATTGTAGTGCATGACACACATCTTTTTTATTTGTCATACTATATACCACCATATGGCATTTTAAACCAATGTCAATAACCAAACTGCAGCTGTCAACATTGCATTTTGTCAACTTAATGATATCATAATCATATTATCAAAAAAAATCCCAAATTGGGATCAATAAAGTACTATCTTATCTTATCATATACAGTATCCTGTCATGTATGTCTATTACTGTGTTCTCTTTTTTTCTTCATATTATTTTCTTTGAGTCAAATGTACTAGCGTGTCTCTTCCTGTCCCCCAGACGTGTGGTACCTGTCCCCCCTGGTGTGTGTGCTCTTCCTGGCTCTGATCCCCCTGTGGGTGGTGTTGGCGCGGCGCAGCCCCCAGATCAGCGAGGTGCTCCGCTCAGGGTGGCAGCCTGTTTTAGTCGCCATGTCCATTAGCAGGTACACACTTTTCATTCTTCAATGGGGAATAATATGAAAAACATCTAAATATTTTTTTATACAATTTAATTTTCAATTTTATCTCAATTAACTTCCAGCTTAACTTGTTTTAGTTTATGCACTGTATTTTTCATATTAAGTGTTTAATTAACTGTTACATTTGACTAATTTGGGGATTTTTACCATTTCTCCTTATTGTTGCCGTTATTTTTTACTTATTTGCTTTTCTTAGTGTCAGGATTTTTTTGTTTAATTTTTTATTTATTCTTACCCAGCAATTTTTTTAATCAGGTCTCTTTTTATCAAAATCGCAATGTGAACAGTTGCGATATTCAAATCGCGGGAAGCACAGTATTTGTTAAATGCTAAATATGTGTTAAAAAAGCATATTGAAAAAAGTATTGTGGAGCTTAGAAAAACATATTTGTTTGGTACAGATCATCTTATACAATCACACCATAATAAATATTTGAATGGTAATAGAAATTATGATTAAAATATGATAAATCCCTTCTATATAGTGAATCATATCCCAATATTAGTCAAAATAGTCACAATATTTCGTTTTTTTAAATAATGCAGCCCTAGTCTCTACCTCTATGTTTTTTCTAAGTTAAAGGTTAACCAGTTAAGCCCATGGATGTATAATAAGAACTGGATACAGCGTCGGAGGCGGGGTCTCGTTCTTTCCTATGAGAGCTGCTCATTGGCGCATGAGGACAAAAGGGCCCAGGGACATCACATACTGATACGGAAGTTGCAGTACCGCCGTTTGGAAACAAAGAATATTTTCCTCAGAGTCCGGCGCACTTCATGGGGGCTTGGTTAAGCCCCATGCCCCTGGTACTGGGGGCAAAACGCAACATCTTGCAAGAAACAGCGTCTGAGGGCTTCTTAACATTTAACAAACTATGAATGTGTCATACCCACTTAACGGGAAGAAACTCAGCTATCAGACAATAGTAACAATTTTTAGCTAAACAAAACACAAGGGTAATAACAAGCCTCTGAATTAGCCCTGAGCGAAAAAACGCACTTAGCACAGAACTCACGGTAGAAATATTTTATTACTTATCGGATCTGCAAACCCAGACAACACACAACGTAGCTTTATGGGACCAAAACGGAAAATAAGTCTTACCGTTGCTGTTTTCTGATCAAAAGTTGTGTTCAATGGCATTAAAACGCATAAAACGCTGCTGAAGGTTAATCCAATGTCTCTGTGTCATTTTGAAATGATTACTGATAATCCATCGTCATATTTATTTGCAAAAACAGAGTTTTCATATATAGCTGCTATGATAGCTACGAGAGTGTATGACAGCTTCCGGTTTTGGGCATTCTGGCTGCGCATCACTCATTCACCAATGGGTAATGTTTAGATAGATTTTAGGAACTTCCCCTCGATTCTATTGGCTCTAATGGTTAAAAAGAGGTGTCAATCATCAAAATCGACCGAGGGGGGCCAGAGATATGGAAAATGCACCCAAATGACCCCAGAAGTGGTTTTCTTTTTCTAAATCTCTCTAAAAAGGTCAAATGTTACTTGTTTTGCATACATCTTGATACAGGGTACTTATTATATGTTGTACTTTGGATTCCTAAAGCTTTTAGTCTTCGATCCCATCATTCAAGGGTAGTTTTCACTATAAGTAATGTTGTTTTTTTGGACGGACAATATAATTTACAATTTTTTACTATGTTCAATCTGAATTTACTTTAAAATAAAAAAATTCTATATTGATTCGGACTTTTCTACGTCCAACTCACAAGTTTATCATTGCTTTGAGAAAAAAGATTATTAATTTACCCCTTTTAGAAGTGAAGTTATAGTCATTTGTTCTGGGAATGTCATTTTCGAGCCTGAGACCTTAAAAACAGGCTTGGGGCTTAACAGGTTAAAGAACTTCCTGGCAACCTAATTAATTATAATTCAAGCAGTATGTCATTAAATACATTAAAATGATCTTTGCAGGTTAATCTGAGCTGGTTGTAGTAGATCAGTTCGGGATTTGCTAATAAAACAGCTGAAAATAAGGGTTACCTTTATCTGATTATTTTGTTTGTTTGTTCTAACATCAGAATGGGAAACCCTGGCAGTGACTTTATGTGGCTCTGATTATCTCTGTGTTTGTGATTCCCAGTTTTGGAGGCCTTATACTGGACAAGACAGTGAGTGATCCAAACTTTAAAGGCATGGCTGTCTTTACACCTGTTATGAATGGTAAGCTCTTTCAAGCGAAATGTCAAAATGAGAGATGAAATGGCATTGTTGCCATTTATTGGTTATTCTCCAGATTTACAATTTCTGCAACACTTGCATTATTAAAGAGGCCCTATAATGCTCAGGTTCATATTAGTATTCTGTGTCTCTACATGTCTCCATGCTTTAATGTCAGGGCCGTATCCAGGATTTCCTAAATACCGAGGTCCAAACATGCTAGGGGGGTTCGGGGGGGTTCGGGGGGGTTCGGGGGTATACCCCTCCCCCCGAGATTTGGGGGATTTTCATGATCTAGTTATGTGCTTTTTAAGTCCTGTGCGGGGTCACAAATTGGATAATATATTGATTTCAAACCATGTCAGTGGGCTGCAGCATAAATTATTTTTGAAAGTGTAATGCATAAGAATCAGTTGATTGTTACTATTAATGATCTGGACATGCAGAAGAGGCTAAAATGATCCCAAAACATTGTCAACATTCATTTTCCATGTCTCTCTCCTTTCCATAACCTGCCCCCTCTCTTCCATCTTCTTTAGTCTCTCTGTCTTCTTCCTGTTCATTACTCTCTCTGTCCTCTACTCTTTCTCTTTGTTCAATCTCTCCCTCATTGTTCACTTTTTGCTCACTCCTGTCGCTCCTGCCAGTGAATTAAAAGCAATTCAGCAATTTAGTTCATTTCACTTGTTTGTTTGCATTATATTTTGTATTTAAATCTGTTCTGTTTGATTCTCAAAAGAGAACAAAGATGTAAGCAAATTGTGTTTTATACAATTGTATGTTATTATGACATCATAACTGCAATAGATGTATGTTGTTTTAAAATTATGCCTATTTTCTATAGTGTAAATTAAGACTATTGTTATAGATAAATAGATAGATAGATAGATAGATTGATAGATAGATGGATAAATCGATAGATAGATAGATAGATGGATAGATTGGAACTTGGAGAGGTCCCAGTTCACCTCCTGGCCTGCCGTGGTGCCCTTGAGCAAGGCACCGGACACCCCCCTTCCCCCCTCACTCCCATTGCTCCCCGGGCGCTGTGCAATAGCTGCCCACTGCTCCTAGTACTAGACTCCTGGTACTAGGATGGGTTAAAAGCAGAAAACTAATTTCACTGTGTGTGCTGTGTGCTCTGCATGTGTGATCATTAAATAGGGTTTCATCCCTCCCAATTCTATTCTATTCTATTCTATAGATAGATAGATAGATAGATAGATAGATAGAGTTTTTTTTTAAGCCTATACATTCTTTTGTGTGACTGTACCTGCAGTTCCTCCCTGACTTCCATCACTTTCTCTCTCTCTCTTTCTCTCTGCCTGTCCTGTCTCTTCCTTACCAAAGCTGAGCTTCGACTGACGTATACAGTCTTTTCATTATATCTGAGTCAGTGTAAAAAGAAAACAATACAATGTTATATCTTCAATGTTTTACTCAAATTGAAATGAAAGAAAAGCATTACAACGTTTGTTAAAAGGTAATCCTTCTGACATTGGATGAATGAAATTAACTTTAGCTCTCTAGCTAGTTTATTCACGCAATTTAAACAAAAGTATAGCCTATAGCTGCAATATAAATTAGTGTGCATGTTGTCGGACGTCCACTGACTAACGTAGAGCGTTCACACAGGATCTGCTTGTCATATGATGTCCTGATGAACAGAAACACAAGCAGCCCGCTGCACTCAGATCTCTAGATACCTCATCACTCCTCCGCTGCTCCGATACAATACCGGGCTGCGGTGGTTTGTTGATACATGTCGTCTTCTTCTGTTTGCTTTAATCGAGGCTACGTAGTTATGCAGCGCCCCCATCGGCAGTAAATGGAAGTACTACAAAGAACCCCGTTTAGTTCAGTTATTTCCCAAGTTTAGTTATACACAGCTCGGAGAAAATTACCGAGGTCCGGACCTCGGTGACCTCAATGGTGGATACACCCTCTGTCTGAAACCAGAGTCCAGTCTGCTCTGATTGGTTAGCTGTCCGGCTCTGTTGTGATTTGTCAACTACTTAGAGTTGTATGGCAAAAGTCCCGCCCCCTAGCATATCACCTACAATGCGTTGGAGCGCTAGCCAATAGAAGCACAAGTATTACATAGTGATGTCACTATGTTACAGAAGTAAACAAAGGAGTCCAATTCAGGCTTATTATATTGCAAAAAAATGTCACTGAGCTAAAAGAATAAAAATGATTTGTCTGTAATATTATTGGTGCAATATATTTTCTGAATCTGACCTAAGATGGGGGCAGATTGCACTTGCAAGTGTTGTATGAGTCATGGTGCTTTCAGTGGACTCAATCCATTCTTTGTAAATTTGCCCCAAAATAAAAATAAATATAGTGTGACATTTTGCAACCAGTATATTTAAATCATTTCATTTTCATTCACATAAGGTGTCACAATACTGACTTCAACTCACAACAACAACAAAAATCACTTTTGTCAGATCTTCAAATATGTTTTCACATGTTGCCATAATGCTCTTCCGTACCTCACATTCCTAGTCATTCTGTCCTCTCTGTTTCCTTCCCCTGTGTAGGAGTGGGTGGTAACTTGGTGGCCATCCAAGCCAGCAGGATCTCAACGTACCTGCACTTCTGGAGCATCCCGGGGGTGCTGCCCTACAAGATGAGGCAGCACTGGCCCAATCCCTGCATCACCTTCTTCTCCTCAGGTAACACTGCCATGCTGAATGCATGACTTTGCACCTTTCTACATAATAATAATAATAATGCCGGTTGAGCGGCCATGAGGCAGGCAGCGTAGAGTTGGAGCTCCTTGATCCTGACAGCTAAACGCCTACTTTCTGTGGTTAAAACAGTCTAATAGACAGTATTATGAATAAGGCGTTGGTGTAATGACCAATGGGAAACGGAAAACTGCCGGACAGAAGAAAGAACAGACGCCTCCAGTTATAGAAAAGTCCGCTGATGATACGGCTAACGGTAACCATTTTTACCCTGAGGAACTAGCACTACAGGAAGCTAACGATATGGCAGACATACAGACAATACTCCAGGAATTAAGAGACTTTCGTCAGGAAAACGGCGACGCGCTCCGTGATATTAAGGACAAAATTAATGCAACACACAACAGAGTGGACGAGGCTGAAAACCCAATCTCAGGGGCAGAGGAACAAGTGCAAGTCGTGGAGGAGGCTTTGCTAGAGGTGCTAAAGCTACAGGAGAGACTGGAGGCTAGGCTCACGGATCAGGAAGGGCGGTCAAGACGGGACAACATTCGACTTCACGGTATAGTGGAAGGGGCCGAAGAACACTCTACGGGAGTGGCTGCCTTTGTGGAGAATCTGCTACGAGCAATCATTTTCTTTTGTCTTATTATATAAATAACCCTGAAATTGGAAGACTTATAGTTTTGATATTTTTTGTGGGCAAAGTGTGTGGACGTTTCCCCAGAGACTAATTACAGAAACGGTCACTCAAGGGTCATGGGCTCGGGTTTATGTGTGCACGTTCAAGTACGGAGCAACGGGAGGGCCCTCTGAACCCTGGAGGCTGCAGAGACTATCCCTCCGAGCCACTAATAGATCTTGGCTCACACAAGGTCACAAACATGACCTCTTCATGAGCAGATTTGTTTCGTTTTTTCAATGTCTGCAGGCATTGGTTAAGAGTTATCTCAATTTTGAATAAAACATGGAAGATAATCCAGCTCCGATCAGAGTAGTTACTTATAATGTGAAAGGTGTCCTCAACCCTTTAAAAAGGACTACAATTTTGAAAAAAATTTGAAAAGATAAGGCAGGAATAGTATATTTACAAGACACGCTTTTAAAAGAGCCAGAACATGCTAAACTCAAAAGACAGGGCTTTGGTCAGGTTTTTTCCTCATCTTTCCCTTCTGGGCGCCAAAGGGGGGTAGCAACGCTAATATCCACAAAGATTGTTTTTGAAAAAGTTTCAGAGTTTAAAGATAAGGAGGGAAGATACAATATGGTCATTGGAAAACTGGATGGAATTGAGGTCACCCTATTAAATGTATATGTACCGCCAGTTGCTAAATGGGCTTTTTACAAGTACATTTTGATGATAACAAAAGCACAAGGAACAATAATATGCGGGGGGGATTTCAATTTAAGACTAAGCTCGATTTGGGATGTCTCAGGGACCAATCATAATCAAAATAATGCACTGAGGAAGGTAAGAGGTCTGTTAAAAGATATGAGTATTTGCGACATATGGAGGGAATTAAATCCGACTACAAGAGACTACACTTTTTTTTCTGCTCCCCACAACTCTTACTCTAGGATTGATTATTTTTGTATGTATAACAAAGATGTGGGTAAAATAAGGTGTAACATTGGTAGTATGGACCTGTCTGACCATAGCCCTGTTTACATGGACAAGCAAAGCTAGACTTACAGAGAGACATACGAATGTATTTGGAGGAAACTGACAACGGAGAAGTCTCCCCCTCTATATTGTGGGATGCGAGTAAAGCAGTAATGAGGGGTAAAATGATAGCAAAATTAGCACTTCAAAAAAAACTCAGATAAGAAAAACTAAGAAAATTGGAATTAGAGTTGACTAATCTGGAGAGGAAAAATAAAGACAATACCGAGTCAGACACCACCCAAAAAATCCAAGACATCAGAATTCAAATAAACGATTTGCTCACATTAGACATTCAGAAGAAGTTGGCATTCCTGAAGCAAAGGTACTATGAAACGGGTAGTAAATCAACTAAATTCCTGGCCTATAAATTAAAGAAACAGCAAGCAGAGAGAATCATTTACAAAATGAGAGACCCAAGCACAAATCAAGTAACCCACAAAAGTAAGCAAATCCAAAGTTGTTTAGAAAAATACTATAAAAATCTCTACTCCAAAAAGCACCATAAAGGAGACACAGCGACGGACGCTCTACTTAACTCACCCAAGCTTCCTAAAATGACAGCAGAACAGAATTAAACTGACAGCTAATATAACCGCGGATGAACTAGAGACCGCAATAAAAAGACTCAAAACAAATAAATCCCCTGGATCAGACTGGTTTACCGCTGAATGGTACAAAACCTTTAAGGACTTGTTGTCACCGCCCTTACTAAACGCATTTAACTGGGTACTGGTAAATAGGGAAACTCCACCATCGTGCCGAGAAGTTATTTCAGTTTTACACAAGGATGGGAAGGACAAATTGAACTGCTCCAATTACAGGCCAATCAGCCTACTAAACCAGGATTACAAGCTGTTTGCCTCCATATTAGCTAGGGGGTTGGAGACTTTTCTCCCCGATATTATAAATCTCGACCAGACAGGTTTTATTAGACAGAGGCAAACATGTGATAATATCAGACGTACTCTGCATATAATCAATCACATTAAACAAACAGATATGGAAGCGGTTATACTGGGTCTGGATGCGGAGAAGGCTTTTGACTCAGTGGACTGGTCCTTTTTATACAGAGTGCTGTTCAGGTTCGGTTTTCATGAAACATTTATTAAGACAATAGAAACACTATACAACAAACCTACGGCAAAGATTAGGATTACTGGGTCATTAACTAACGCCTTTGAATTAGAACAAGGTTGTCGGCAGGGATGTCCCATGTCCCCACTTCTCTTTGCCATTTTCATAGAGCCATTAAGCCAGTGGGTAAAACAGAGTGAGGAAATACAGGGAATTACAATGGCTGGAGGAGAACAAAAGATAGCCTTGTTTGCGGACAATATTTTAATATACCTTGGGTGCCCCGAGCTCTTCCCTCCCATGTTTATTAACAACCTTAACAGAATATGGATGTTTATCTGGTTATCGACTAAATACCCACAAATCTCAAATACTGACGTTTAATTACACCCCTAGTCAACCCATCAGAGATGTGTTAAAAGTTAAATGGGAGGCTGAAACTATGAGGTATGTGGGAGTGAATATCCCCAAAAATATTGACGAAATAATATCACTGAATTATGACCCCCTAATTACCAAGATTAGGTCTGATCTTTCCCGATGGAATGTAATACCGTTCCTCAGTTTAGCACAGAGGGTGGAAGCTATAAAGATGAACATTCTCCCGAGACTCTTATATTTGTATCAATCCATCCAAGCTGAACTGCCGAACGGACATTTTCTAAATCTGGACAAGGCAATTTCTAGATTTATCTGGAAGGGAACAAAAGCCTCGGATTAAGTTCAAGACCCTCCAGCTACCTAAAGAGAGAGGGGGTCTCTCGCATCCTAATTTTAGAATTATTCCAAAGCAGCTCAGATAAAACCTCTGGTCGATATATGCAATCCTTCCTACGTAGCACGATGGAAGGAGATAGAATGCCGGACATTGAGCAATGTCCCACTACAGGCGGTAATAGGTGGGGGTATTTAAAAAAATATATATGAATGGGAGTCAAACCCGTGGGTGGCGACATCACTCAAAATATGGGCACAGGTGAGAGAACATGAGAATAAGGAACCTTTTCATATGTTGAGATGGATAGCTTATGATTCTGATTTTATACCCAATAGGACAGACGCAGGATTTAAAAAATGGGCAGAAAAGGGGCTGATAAAATATAGCGATCTCTTTGTTGGTGGAGTACTCAAAAACTTTCAGGATTCAAAAGTTCAATATGGCCTTACCAAACAAAACTTCTATAGGTATTTGCAACTTAGACACTACATAGGGAAATGTATAGGAAGGGGAGTCTTAGAAAAGACAAACTTGGTGTCACGCCCTGGCTCATGGACGGACAAAAGAAGGAGACCACACATCATTCATATCCAATTAAAGTATATTTATTTAAAGAAACTAATTATGAAGTCAGTTAATCAGTAGTGTGTGGGTGTGTGAATATGTATCAGTATATAAAGCAAAGACAAACAAACCAAGGTCCAGTAGAGCCAAGCAACCCAAGAGGAGAGAGAGACTGACTGCTCAAGCGCCCATACCTCCCCCCTTAAGAATGAGGTATCACCTCAGATCCTGAAACAAAATAAGAACATTAGACACATTTTCTTCCAATTCATAACTCCAAGTAGCACGTTTAAGAGCACATACAAACTGCATTATAAGTGATACTAGGCAAAAAAGGAACTATGGAAAAGGTACATGAGGTGACTACTGAAATTTGCACAAAACCCGCAATTGTTACAGCCTAACCCCAGGAAAAGCAACTACTGCTGCTTAGTGGACGAAACAGGGAATGCCTGTATGGCCAAAACCTCAAGAAGAATGGGACGAAGCGCCCCTTGCCTGCCCCACTTTACCCAAAGATGTTACTGTAGCTCTCTTTGGCATACTTCCGTGTGTTGCAAATGTTGCACTCTGACCTTCTAGCCCAATTGACATTGCCACATGTGTTGCACTTCCAATCATTTACACTGAAGAGACCCCTGCTCCTCCCAGCCAGAGTTTTCCAACTAACTGTTCCTCCAGCTTTCATAATTTTCTTCCTGCCACATCTGTAACAACTGGTTCTTCTAGCAAAGTTCATCATTCCACACTTATCAGAACAAAACCAGTCCTCGCCTCCAACATGAAAACTCTTTCCTGCAATGTTTATTTTGTTACCACTGATTGGCTTTGCCTGATCTGGCCAAACATGACCACCTGCCAGGTCATTTCCAAAAATGATGTCCACTCCAGTCACTGGCAACTGGACGAACACCAACCTCCACTTCTCTCTGGACCAAATCACAGGACAGAAACAGTTTATGCTCAGGCACAAAAATGGTTTGCAGACCAATCCCTCTAACTGGAACACGGCGCCCCATGTCTGAATCTGGAGAAAAAGGCAAGATGCCCTCCCTCACAAAAGTATTCAAAGCTCCCAAGTCCCTCAAAATCCTGACTTGAACTTTCTTGTTACTCCCAACTACAGTTACAAAACCGTCAGACATAAACGAAGCATAAACCGACTCAACCTCTGAGATATCAATTGGCTTAACCTGCACTTGCAATGGAGCCAAGACTTCTGTTTCACCAACTTTGGGATTATGAATAGTTGTAGCCAAACCAACTGACTTCACATGAAAAGTGTTGATTTTCCCCTCTAGCAAAGGACATTCTTTTTTCCAATGACCCTGTTGATGGCAATAATGACACACATTTGCATTGCTTATGCCATTAGGATGCTGTGCAAACCTTGGGGACAAAGAATCTGCTTTCTGGGATTCATTCCTATCATAACGCTCACCAAAGATGCGCTTGTGCGTCAACACATACTCATCAGCCAGTACTGCTGCCTCCCTTGGACATGTGACTTTATGTTCATTAATATATGTTGCAATGTTATCAGGGACAGACCGTTTCAATTGCTCCAGAATGATTAAATCACATAACTGATCCAGTTTTTTTACACCAGAAGAAGAGTACCAGCGCTTGAAATGCAAGATCAAATCCCGTGCAAATTCCACATGTGTTTTGTTACCACTCTTTCGCCAGTCTCTAAAACGTTGGCGGTACACTTCAGGCTTCAACTCATAAGCCTTCAAAACAGCCGATTTCACCATATCGTAATCTTTACAGGTGTCAGAAGATAAAGCAGAGTAGGCTTCTTGCAGCATTAAAGTTCTGTCCTCATCAGGCCAGCCCCTTGAATCAGCAACACGCTCAAACAGACAAAAAAAAGTGTCCACATCATGTTCGTCAAATGTTGGCAACAACAGTAAATGACTTGCAACATCAAAGCGTGAACTTACAAGTTCCTCATTCAAAGCCGATGCAGACATTTTACCTGCCCTAATCAAAGCCAATTTTTGCAGTTCCAAATCCAGTTTCATTTGTTCCTTTTTGTATCAGATTTGTTCCATATATTTTTCATTGTCTAACCTCAAAATCAACTATTCTTTCTGTTGTTCAAATGTTAAGCCAGACGCAAAATTAGTTACAATGCTCTTACCTCCCCTGTCCATCAGAACCAAATCTTCCACAATGTTAGCCATATCAAACCACAAAAATCTAGCAACCTAGATAACCAAATTGAGATAACATACACCAAACCTTTACACTATGCAACTAGTGGCAACAACAACTGGTGACTCCCCATGCTCAACTAACTAATTAGAGTTTGTCCCTTATCTGACTAAACTCGTACCTAGTCTTCGTACAGATACTTGTGGCGGGTATTTATTCACTGAAACCAAGTGGTACTGGAAGGCAACTGTATACACAGCGACCCCACAAGAAACCATGGACGTGATCCCGAGACAACTGCTCTAGCCACTTTCTCTGTCACACTAAACCCAACCCCCCACAGCAGACTCTCCATTAGAACCTGCTGCTAGGCCTCACAGAGGAGAACACCAGTCACATGCCACACCAAACATTTTAGCATATTTACCTAAAAGAAAACTGGCCCAAACTAGATTATAAAGCTCTCCAAAACAACTTCATCCATGTGTGATACTCCAACCTAAATTAGCACAGAAAATTCATACTAACAAAATGTGACTTGGACGAGCCCCCATGTCACGCCTTGGCTCAAGGACGGACAAAAGAAGGAGACCACACATCATTCATATCAAATTCAAGTATATTTATTTAAAGAAACGTTAAAAGTTAATTATGAAGTCAGTTAATCAGTAATGTGTGTAGTGTGTGGGTGTGTGAACATGTATCAGTATACAAATCACAGACAGACAAGGTCAGTAGAGCCAAGATGAGAGAGAGACTGACTGCTCAGGCACCCATATTTGTAGCTGAGCAGTCAACCAAAATCAGGTGTCAGCAATCTCTCCTGATTGGGGAGTGGCTAACCAGAGACTTGAGTCTAAGGCCTATAGGGGCCGTCACACTTGGGTATTCTGAATTTGTTTTTAAAGGGTTACAAATCAGATCAAGGTCTCAAAAACATCTCAAAGTTATATAATGGACTAAATGAGTTAATTGCACAAGACACAACATATGTAAAGGAAAAATGGGAAAAGGAAGGAAATCTTACTCTAGACTTGGAAATATGGGAAAAGCTGATCAAGCAACAATGGAGATCTACTTCCGCCCTGACCTGGAGGGAATTTGGGTGGAAAACAACAGGTTTTCATAAATAGAAACACTTCATGTTGGAGGTCATGTGGTGAGAAAAAGGTGAATCATTATCATGTGTTCTGGCAGTGTCCTGTGCTCCTGAACTACTGGAATCAAATCAAGTCCTTTATGGAAAAGATACTTGGGGTCGGGATCCCATTTAACTTTGAGACACTATACCTGGGCTTGAGACCAGACACCGTCAAGGGATATACAAGCAAATATATGTTCAATATCCTATTAATAGCAAGTAAAGCCCTGACTATGAAATGGTTGACAACGGAGGCACCTAAGGTTGAGGACTGTTTTGATGTTATTCATGACATATATGTTATGGAGAAACTGACTTCTGTTGTGAGACTTGAAAGGGACAAGTTGGGCTTCATTGGTTGAGGGCATATCTACAGTCAGATCGGATTTTACTTGAATTGTTATTAGACACTGTATAAACACTTACCCCCATGTTCTAAGTTGAGCTACTCGGTTGTAAACTTGATTCTCTTGTTTAGGAATATATGTACAAATATGCCCCCCCCCCCTCCCCCTCCCCCTCCCCCTCCCTCGTTTTTCTTATTTTATTGTTTTTAATTCTTTGTATATCGTCTATTTATGTATTATTATTTTTATTTTATTATTTGTATTCATTTGTTGTTGTTGTTATTATTCCCTGTCTTTAACTTGTAGTCTATTTTAATTTAGTTTACTTACTTATGAATATTACAACCACGCTATTGCAGAATGATCATTTTATTACAACTGATTATTGATTATTATTCTCCTTTTGCATATGGAGAGTTGAAAGCATGTTCTGCTGTATACTGTATATGACCTGTATTCCTAATAAAACATATGAATAACAAAAAATAAATCATTAAAATATAGTTAAAACAAAACACTTAATTAAACACAACATTAATTACAGTTAAAATCAGTTCTGAAAAGGTGAGTTTTGGTTTGTGATTTGAACATTTGAGATTGAGGCAGTCCCGGATGTGTTTGGGGAGTGAGTTCCAGAGGGAGGGGGGGCAGCGATGGAGAAAGCTCTGTCCCCCCAGGTTCGGTGCTTGGTCCTATGAGGAAAAGACAGGAGGTTGGCGTCTGAGGAGAGGCGGCTGCGGAAAGGAGTGTGGTGTGGTGTTGGAGTCCAGAACAAATGTCCTTACGGGGACAATAAAGTATATCGTATCGTATCGTATGTCTGTGAGGTAGGAGGGGGCCTGGTGATGGAGGGCTTTGTAGGTAAGGAGAAAGATCTTGAAATGGATGTGTTGTGGGATGGGGAGGCAGTGGAGGTTCTGCAGGACAGGGGTGATGTGGTCATGAGAGAGGGTGTGGGTGAGGAGTCGGCGGCAGAGTTCTGGAGTTTATTGAGGAGTTTGGATGGTGTACCATAGAGGACGCTGTTAGTCTAGTCTGGATGAGATTTCATTTCATTTCAAACCTTTATTTATCGAGGTGATGAAGGCATGGATGAGGGTTTTGGCAGTAGAGAAGGAGAGTGATGGGCGGAGATGGGATAGATTTCTGAGGTGGAAGAAGGCAGTTTTGGTGTTGTGCTTGATATTGTTTCCAAAGGAGAGGTTGCTGTCGTAAATGACTCTGAGGTTGCGGATGTGACAGGAGGGAGACAGAGTGGAATTGTCAATGGTGAGGGAGGGGTTGTTATTGTTTTTGGTGAAGGATTTGGACCGATGTCGACCATGTCAGATGTATCAAAGTTCAGGTTGACGTTGCATCCAGGATTTTATTACATTACATATTTTGCGATTCAACCGACGTGCTCAACCAGAGTGCCTAAAAATAACAGCAACTTCCTAGAATTCCTAAATGTAAGGTGTTAAAAGCAGTAAGATTTTGTTACGTTCTATAGACTTGAATTTGTCATCTAGCCAGAAAGACAAATATCTTTTACAACGAAGGTGCTTATTGCAGGAGTTGAAGTGATGTCAATGTATTTGACCCAAAATAGAACCTCCTGATACGTTTTCAAATAAGAGTTCTAGGATGTATTCCAATTGAACATTTGAACTGAGTTAACCACAAGGACAATCCATTCATAAGTGATCAAAAGTACTAACAGAAAGTTCACTGTTCTCTGTGTCTCCCAGGGGTGAACTCCAGGTCGGCGCGGGTGCTTCTGATGCTGGTTGTCCCCGGTCACCTGGTCTTCCTCTATGCCATCTCTCTGCTGCAGGGAGAGGAGGCGCCTATCAGCGTGGCCTTTGCCATCTGCTACCTGTTTGCTGCTCTTCTGCAGGTAAACTGTCGCAGATTTCTTCTACATCCCCAAGAAAGTAGTGCAGTGATGATATATTTTTGTAGGCCAAGCCCAAAGTTAGCATCTCAAAGGTTCCCGCGACAATACGCGATGGGATGTTTCCATTGGAATCCGGTATGATGCAGAAAATAGGCTTTGTAGCCACACTTTCATGATACTTAACACATTTTGTTCAGCAAGGTAATCCAACATATTGACGCAACTTTGTGATTTTTTGGAAGCGTAAATGTAATCGGCAGAAGTAAAAGCTAATTCAATGCTATAAACAAACTACTTCATGGTTGCATGCGCTATCACCACCACTAAGCTAAAGGCGGACTAGTGTAGGCGTGACGATGTTAAGAAGTTGATTTAGTCACTTGTTATCAGCTGCTGTTTTTATGACACATTAAAGCTTCAGACATTCACAAGTGGATTAAATAATAAACAAAACATTTGCATCGGTAGACAGAAAGACACTTTTATGTATATTGTATGAGCTGCTGAGGTGCACTAGTCCAGTTACCCCCAAAGTCAAACCAGATAAACAGAACTAACCTTGGTCGAAACGTCATGTTCCAATTATATTTTTCTGATGGATATTAAACTGGATATAATTATACAGATGTGGTTATAATACAGTTTAATTGTTGGCACCATTTAGGTTGGTTTGGTCAGTTAAAGTTAGTCAAAACCCTGGCGATTGTAGATTTAAATCAATGATACACCTGCAAAATTATCTTTTTATATCAATAATCCACTCCTTGTTACCTTGAATTTTTGAAGAAAACTTTTTTTTTAAATGACTCAATACTAAACTAAGAACATTCTTGATAAACTGAAGGACAAGAAGCTTTCCTGTGTAACTGTGTGACTGCTTATGTGAAGGTATTTAAAATAATAAGGTTTTAGCCAAAATGCATGTTTTATAAAGCAGTTCCATACAAATTGATGATTGAGACTTATTATTATACTACGAATGTGTGACCCTTTTGGATTTATTGTTCACTGTTGAGGAATCCAAGAAAAACACATTTTTCCTCTGGAATTCAAGGTAACAGTCATTGATAAAAATATATCATTTTGAGGATTATTTCCCTAATTCCATTTTCCCTGATTGTTTCCAAGTTTTGTCGTATTTTCCTCTTAATGCAGCCTATTTAGCTCAGTTTTCTTCCCCTTCTAGGTGGCCATCCTGCTTTACTTAGCCGACCTCATCGTCCGTGTGATGTGGAGACGGAGCCTGGACCCTGACAACTTCTCCATCCCCTACCTGACCGCTGTGGGGGACCTGCTGGGCACCGGCTTCCTGGCCCTGTGCTTCCACAGCGTCTCGCTGGTTCAGAACCTGGGACTCTGAAGGTTTTTCCTTTTACTCATGAACTCTTAGTCAGCCACCATCTTGTTTCACCTGTTTCGTTACACAGAAATGCTTGGATTGGACAATAAAGCATTCTTCAATGGTTATCACTGGGACAATCCATACTGAGGAATCTGTCTTTGTCACAAGTTCAGACCTTTAATAGGATGGAGAGACTGCACACACCCACCTTTTACCATCCATGTGGGTGAGGAACCACGTCCAACAAATCTAATAATTGTATTTAAGGGAAAAAGCCTTTCAAGTTTAAATTCTCCACCTGTCAGTATGTCAAACTTTATTTTGCTATCATTCCTCTCTATCTGTCTTTCACAGAGGTGGGAGTAAGTCATACATGTGCAAGTCATGAGCAAGTCTCAAGTCTTAACCTACAAGTCTCAAGCAAGTCCCAAGTCACTGTGGTGAGAGTCAAGCAAGTCAAGTCAAGTCATTGCTCAGGTCAAGCAAGTCACAAGTCAAGTCATACAAAATTCTGATGAATAAGCCCAGTTTCCGCATTTAAATCAGTAAAAATGTTGTGGTTATGAAAAGTTTAATTTTATTTTCAACATAAACAGCAATGGAGAGTGGGGCGCTGAAATGATAACCCTTTAAGTTCTAAAAGGGCTCTAAAGTGATAACAAGAGTACAACACAAATATTTTACATAAACATGTTAAGCATCCTGCCCTGGCTCCCCTTCAGCAGGGTCACAGCATTTATCCATGGTCTGTCTAAGGTGCTCCCATATGACACTGTCTCATTGTTTTCCTAACTGTGTCTGTGCACAAAGATATATTGCATCAAAGCCAATACAACAAAATAGTGTATGTACCAGGGTGCATGATGTGTGCAGTGTGCGAAAAAGCACACGTCCCACCGTCCGGGACGTGTTATTTACAATATCGGACAAGTAGATCTTTCAATTGAATTGTCCGACGGACAAGTGACGTTTTTCGCCCTTATTTATTGACAAATTATTGATAAATTCAGCTTACAAAAGGCAGAACTCATTCGCAAATTGTCCGTGTCTGCCATTGTTGTGGTTTTGCTTGTCGATTCCTAAGGAAATGCATCTCGCCGCTTTCTGTACTGTTAGACGGGGGCGGGCGGGAAGTAAAACTCGGTTCCGAGTAAGAACAAATAACAATTGTCCGTTTAACAGCCTCATCTTTGTCAAACTTTCTTATGTTCTTTCTCTAACACGTAATGAAGGTTATTAAGCGTTTTAGCTCCTATGTTGTTAATATTGACCGCCATTTCCTTTATGAAGTAAAGCAGCCTCCCTGTCTGTGTCCTCGCGCTGTCCTCACATCCCCGGACCTCCTGACTCGGAGGAGCACAGGGATGTCAGTATTGTTTATGAAGCAGGGTATAGAAAGTACATTATTGAAATGAAACATCAGAGGAGACTGGGCCAATTGTACATTCTCAAACTACACTACTTAGAACTAACTAAACAATTATTTGTATATAATTGTATTCAATAACCGTAACAATATTAAACAGTATGAAGTGATTTGTAAATAGGAATGCAGATTTGACTTAATGTTTTCATAAATATATTTTTCTCCCAGTTTGTCATGGGACTTATTTTTACCCTCTCAAAGAACCAGAATCGAGAACCGAAAATAACCGGAATCGAAAAGCATAACCGGAAACGTTAAAATCCAAACAATACCCAACCCTATGTGTGATGCAGTTTAATCTTACCGCTCACTTACGATTTTTCACTTGTCCAGACGAACTTGTATTCGGACAAGTAAATTGCCAAACTCACTTGTCCATGGACAAGTACTCTCTAAAAACGTTTTCTTACACTGATGTGTTTGTGTGCAGACAGTGCAACATTAAGATTAAACAAATGTCTTTCATTTGGGAACACCCACATATACATATCAGGGTTTCCGTTAGCCGGTAATTAACGGTTTTTAGCTGGTAACATTTAATAAAAACCGGTAAATTCAAAACCTGCCGGTCAAAATGTCCGGTAATAATTAGGGATGCTCCGATCGATTGGCCGCCGATCATTATCGACCGATATTCACTCTTAATAGTTTGATCTGTGCTCTCTATAAAGGCCGATCAGGAGAGCTGGATCTGATCGATGTGGACATAAACGCGAGTGAAGTATAACAACGCGAGAGAGAGATCAGATCAGCTGCTGAGTCTGACCAAGGGTCGCAGCTCTGATCACCTGAAGCCCCGCCCACTGTTTAGCGCGCCGCATGAGGAACTGACGGGCTGTCAGGAGAGAGAGGGACGGAGAGAGGAAAAGAGAGGATCCGTTTCTCCCGTGTTATTATTCAAAGTTAATGTAAACTTTTGAATAATGTACTTCATCTACTATAAGTAGTTTGTTTGAATGTAATAATGATGTTGTTTGTTGTTTGTGGAATCATTTATTGAAAAATGAATCTGAATTTTTCGATCTGTTACGATTATAAACTGAAGCAATATAAAAATGACTCCCATTAACTGAGTTTTAAGCATCAGCATATCCGGTCATAGTCCGGTAATTACCTGCTAACGGAAACTCTGCTACACAATTCTTATTATTATTATTGAAACATGACCGGTAAGTTTCAAATTTGTCCGGTAAAATAAATTCTGTCCGGCGAGAAAAAATCCTAGCGGAAACCCTGATACATATGGAGTTGGCCAGATGTGTGTAAATTACTGTTCGTGGTAATTTGAAAACAAATACCGTTGTCGGACACACACAAACACACCGAACACACTCACACAGAGCAGAGCTGAGCAGAGCACAAACACGAACACATCATGCGCCTTAGTGACCGGACATTTCCTTCATAAAACGAGTAATAGAGGGAATAATCGGGCAGTTCGATGTGTGTGTGTGTGTGTGTGTGTGTGTGTGTGTGTGTGTGTGTGTGTGTGTGTGTGTGTGTGTGTGTGTGTGTGTGTGTGTGTGTGTGTGTGTGTGTGTGTGTGTGTGTGTGTGTGTGTGTGTGTGTGTGTGTGTGTGTGTGTGTGTGTGTGTGTGTGTGTGTGTGTGTGTGTGTGCGTGCGTGTGTGTGTGTGTGTGTGTGTGTGATTAAACGTAGCAGCCTGCGGTCGCTCTTTAGCTGTTCTAATTAAAGTAAACACAGTGAAGGCGTTGCGTAAAAGGCAGAGTTACACGTCCCGCTGCCTCCTGGTGCTGTAGCGATTTCATGAAGTGAATGAGAGTCCGAGTTTGAAACATATCTAAAATAATGTATGCACTGCCATTTCCCAACATAAACATTACAGTCTGCAATGAAACGGTTGTCTCCTGTGTGCTCCACTTCCTACTTTTTTTTTTTCATTGCCCTTTAGGGGCTCCGTACAATACAAAAACAAATGCAAATATTTAATTAAAAAAAGTAAAGTCCTTTACTTGCAAAATTGTCTTTTCAATTGACAAACATCATAAGTGTAATTCATGGCACAATTCAAACGGGATCGAAAGATCATCTTTCTCTCGCCATTGACTTCAATACATAATTCTTTTCCGAAATAAGGTCCCATGGAGGTCCACCGGAAAGGGAGGGACTTCGCCTCTCTATTTGGGTGTATTTGCCGTATCTCTGGAACCCATTGGTTGATTTGGGTGATTGACACCTATTTGTAACCGTTAGAGCCAATAGAATCAAGGGGAAGTTCCTAAATCCACTTAAACATTACCATTGAGTAGTTAGAGTGATGCGCTCGCAGCATGCTCAAAACCGGAATCTCTGTTACACTCTATATGAAAAATAAGTGTATTGCCATAAATGTTATTATGGATTATCAGTAATCATTTCAAAGTGACACAGAGACATTGGATTAACCTTCAGCAGCGTTTATATGCGTTGTAATGCCATTGAACAGAACTTTTGATCAGAAAACAGCAAAGGTAAGACGTATTTGCCGTTTTGGCCCCGTAAAGTGAAGTTGTGTGTTGTCTTTCCTGGCTTTCGCTGCGGTGAGTTTTGGTCGCACAGTGATGATACTTATACCAGTGGAATTTCAGCTTTCATATGATATCTAGTTTGTGCAGATAGCATGAAGTATAAAATATTGCTACCGTGAGTTATGTGCTAAGTGCGTTAGCATTTCTTCGCTTAGTGCTAATTTAGATGCTTGGTGTTACCCTTGTGTTTCGTTTAGCTAAAAATGGTTAATATTGTCTGATAGCTGAGTTTCTTCCCGTTAACTGGGTATGACAAATTAATAGGTTGTTAAATGTTAAGAAGCCCTGAGACACAGTTTCGCCGGCGGGGGCAATCGGGCTAAGAGGTCACCTATTATGCAAAATGCACTTTTTTATGTTTTTTATACATGTGTCCACGGTGTGTCAGTAGACTCACAAAGTTTCAGGAAATACAACCCTCTCTCTTTTCCTCATTACCCACATCTCTAAAAACTGGGGTACAACGGAGCTGATCCAGATTTGCTGTGGTCATGACGACATTACTAAAATGTGGGCTGGCTTTACGTTGAAGTCCTGGCAACGTTCCACCCACAGCTCAACCTATCGTGCCCTATCAGAAACGTCACTGTATCAGAAACAATGCGCGACGTGTTTTGGAAGTTATATGGTCTGTGTTTACATTAGCAAGCATTGCTAACACTGTACTGGAGAGAGTATGTGTAAAGAAGCCAGATGTAAAAGGTACTCACCTTTTGGTAAACCCACAAGAGAGAAAGCGTTTGAGCTCCATACTGTTTCAGAAATAATACGTGATGTGTCAGAATAGATGTCAATAATATGGCGTTTAATCACGGCAGCATTTAGCTGAGTTTCGGGGGCAAAACGCAACATCTTGCAAGAAACAGCGTCTGAGGGCTTCTTAATATTTAACAAACTATGAAAGTGTCATACCCACTTAACGGGAAGAAACTCAGCTATCAGACAATATTAACCATTTTTAGCTAAACGAAACAAAAGGGTAATAACAAAGGCTCTGAATTAGCCCTGAGCGAAAAAATGCTAACGCACTTAGCACAGAACTCAAGGTAAAATACCCTTATTACTTATCGGATCTGCACAAACAAGATATCGATTAGCAAGCTGAGATTCCAAAGATTCCAGACATATAAGTATCATCACTGAGCGATCAGAACTCGAACAACAACACAAAATTAGCTTTACCGAGCCA